TGTTGGTAGCTGGTATTTATCACAGAGATGTGAAGGAGGCTACAGTTGTTCATTTAATAATCTCTTATAAATTCAATGGCAATTAATCAGAACTATGCAGTATAAACATTCAAATTAACATCAAGCTGACTACGCTGTGAAAAAGAAATACTGCGTAGTTGATCATTTTTATTTACCACCTTAACTTTAAAACTTTAAGGTTCACACAGGGAGAGGTGACATTCTGTACACCTCTCATATATCAGCGGGGAGGAGGGGGAACTGACCAACTCAATCCTCTTCCCCTCTTTGCCTGGCTCGGCTCGTGGGATGGACCCACCTCTCCCAGTATCTGGCACAGTGACTTCCCAAGACAACATGGGGAAGGGCACACAGGATCACATCCTTTCTTCCCCACCCCGATTTCTGCTAGAATATGGCTGCCAGCAGCCTTTTGGCCCTGTACAGCAGGGAAAAGACAGGAGCTGCTTCTAGCAAGAGGCGAGGTGGAAGGAGGGAGAGAGATGACCTGGCTCTTGTCTTTGCAGAGCTCATCCCTCCCTGCTCTCCTAGTGTCAGACAGCAAATGATACCTCCAATCTGCTGCCAGCCCCTGCCATAACCTAGCGGCCTCCTGTCCCCTAGCTACAGCATTGGCAGAAACTGGTTAAACCCTATGGATGCACTGTGCACTAGGGCTCAGGAAGTCTGACTGCAGGGGTTTCAGCAGCTACAGAGCCTGGCCAAAGAGGTGACTTGGCAGGAGAGGGTGCCTAGGGAACAGAGCAGTCCCATGCTCCTTGGGGACAGACCCAGAACCGTGGGGTGGGGAGAGACAAAGAGGGTGCTAAGTCCCTGCCCTGTAGGCTGTGGAGCCTGCAGGATTGGTGAGGGAACAGTCTGGAAATCGCTTTTCCCCACCACTCCCACCTCTCCAGAGCTTATCTAATGCCAGCCCCACCACCAGCCTTGCACAGCCACCCTTGTAATCAGCCACTGGACCCACCTCACTTACCACTGGTGGGCAGGAGAGACAAGCAGGGATTTGGATAGAAGCAGAGCCCATCAATACTGACAGGAGAGGAAATTGGGACACATACAAGAGGACTTAATACAGGATTATCCATTTAAAATAAAAAAAATCTGGTCACTCTAAGGGTGCATTAGTAGGAACATTGCCAGCAGACCTAGGGAAGTAATTATTTCCCTTTATTTGGCACTGGTGAAGCCACATCTGGAGGACAGCATTCAGTTCTAGGGCCCCCATTACAGAAAGGATGGGTGTATTGGAGAAAGCCCAGAGAAAGGCAACAAAAAAGCATCAAAATGATTAGGGGGCTGAAGCACATGACTTACACAGAGAGGCTGAGGGATCTGGTCTTATGAAGTCTAGAGAAAAGAAGAGTAAGGGGGGGATTGGATAGCAGCCTTCAACTACCTGAAGGGGGTTCCCAAAGAGGATGGAGAGGAGCAGTTCTCAGTGGTGACATATGACAGGTAGAGCAGTGGTTTTGAGTTGCGGGGGGGGGAGGGGGGGGCGCTAGAGGGAGAGAAGGAAGTTCTAAGTTGGATATTAAAAAAAATACTATTTCCCTAGTAGCGTAGTGAAGCACTGGAATGGGTTACCTAGCGAGGTGGTGGAATCTCTATCCCTAGAAGTTTAAGTCCAGGCTTGACAAAGGCTTGGCTGGGATAATGTAGTTAGGATTGGTCCTGCTTTTAGAAGCAGTTGGACTCAATGACTTGAAGATTTTATGAGTCAAAGAATTTAAACTGGGGATTATTCCAGATTGGCATGGAAGGTGAGTTGGTAAGAGCTGAAAAGGCAAGAGACTTGATTTTCTTGAAGAACACTCCAAGAGGAGATAAATATTGTATTTGGCCTTAAATATGCAAACATAAAGCCTTCTGAGTATAGTTCCCTGTCCAATGCAGTGGCACATGGACCACTTAGAGAAAGAAAAGGTTGTAGAGCAAATTCAAATCTGTAAAACAGATGGCTTTTAGCTCAAGCAGTAGAGGCTCATGCACTAAGCTCCAGAGATCACAGGTTCAATTTTGACTATTGGCATCACAGAGGCAATAATTTAAAAAAAAAAAATGGAAATTCAGAGAGGTTACGTTAATTATTTTTTCCTTACTCTCCATCAACACTGGATCTTGGAAAAGTTTTCAGGATAAAACCATTATTAGAAATGGTAAGGGAAAAGCTAGATTATATAAATGTAAATCAGATAAGAAATCATGGACAAATTGAGGGGAGGGGATTAAGTATTTTATAGGATATCTAGTGCCTTCATATGCCATAAGAATTGTGTAACTTGTTCTTGTGAAAGTTGAAGCAGAAAATTAAAGAAATTAAGCTAATCTTTGTCCTAAATGAGTTTGTAATAGCTTCTACCTCTCTCAATGAATATATTGGCAGTGACTGGCATTTCTTCCTGTCTTTTGTCAATTGTCTGAGTCTGACATCTGTGTTTGCAGATACACTCTTTGATAAATCCGAGCATATCCTGATTCCTAAAAAGGTTCTCATCTCTTTGCATGAATGAAAGGAGAATGATTGCAATTGAGATGGGTGCATACCATGAAAAATATCCATCCCTTGGAAACTTATTACAGTTCATCCAAAAATCCCAATACTTCTCTGCAGATAGTGTGGAAGTGAAAAGAATTCTTGAGAGCGAGTAGATCATCATCTACATATAGACCAATTTTGTATTCTCTCTCAACTGGCAGATATGCTGCTAGAGGTTTCATGGTTATATCAAACAGAGGTGACCGAAGGTATCCTTCATGCTTTCCTATGTTCTGGCAAATAGTGTGATCTTCTCTACATCACAGTTAAATTGAGGAAAGGGATTATTTGAGAATATCACTCCAGATCAGAAATCTAGGTCCAAATCCTAATTCTCAGGATTGCTTGTAGGTATGGGTCATTCCATTCAGTTCTAGGCCTTTCTGGCATCTAACAGTAGGACAGCGAGTTAAGGCATCAGGGATGTGTGTCTGACAGATTAAATGAATAATTTGAGGTACTGTCTGCCACTAGTCTACTGTAAATAAAACCCACTGGGTCCATAGGAATGATTGATAGAGCAGTGCTGTTTAGAGGCACATCTACACAGCAGAGCTAAAGCTGAAATAAGCTACGCAACTTGAGCTACGTCAATTATGTAGCTTAAATTGAAATAGCTTATTTTGGCTTTTGGTGCGGTCCACACAGCAGGAAGCCTGAATTAGAGCCCACTTCCTCCAACTTCCCTTACTCCTCTTAAATGAGAGCTAAGGAATTGGAGTCAGAAGTAATCTAGCTCGATGTTATTTTGACATCATAGGGCTGGAAGAGACCTCAGGAGGTCAGAGTCCAGCCCCCTGCACAAAGCAGGACCAACTCCAACTAAATCATCCCAGCCAGGGCTGTGTCAAGCGGACACACAAACCATTAGGGATGGAGATTCCACCACCTCCCTAGGTGAGACACATTCCAGTGTTTCACCACCCTCCTAGTGAAATATTTTTCCTAATATCCAACCTAGACCTCCCCCACTGTAACTTAAGACCATTGCTCCTTGTTCTGCCATCAGTCACTACTGAGAACAGCCTCTCCCCAGCCTCTTTGGAACCTCCCTTAAGTCAGTTGAAGGCTGCTCTCAAATCCCCCCTCACTCTTCTCTTCTGCAAACTAAATAGACCCAACTCCCTCAGGCTCTCCTCAGATCTCTCCGGATCTCCACGACTTTTCAAAGATAATGGCCAAAGGCTTCTCAATGACATTTGCCAACGTGCCAAATTAAGGGGAATAACAACTTCAACATCTGCTGGTAATACTCCTCCTAATGCACCCTAATATGCCATTAGCCTTCTTGGCTACAAGGGCACACTGTTGACTCATATCCAGCTTCTCATCCACTATAATCACCAGGTCCTTTTCTGCTGAACTGCTACCTAGCCAGTTGGTCCCCAGCCTGTAACAATGCTTGGGATTCTTCTGTCCCAAGTGCAGGACTCTGCACTTGTCGAACCTCATCAGATTTCTTTTGGCCCAATCCTCTAATCAGTCTAGGTCACTCTGGTCCCTATTCTTGCACTCTAACAGATCTTCCTCTCCCCTAGTGTAATCCGCAAACTTGCTGAGGGTGCAATCCATCCCCTCATAAGAGGTCATTAATGAAGATGTTGAATAAAAATCTGCCCTAGAACCGATCCTTCGGGCATTCCACTTGAAACTGACATCGAGCCATTTAGCCCGACAACCTAGCCAGCTTTGTCCACTTTACAGTCCATTTATCCAATCCATACTTCCCTAACTTGCTGGCAAGAATATTATGGGAGACCATACCAAAAGCTTTGCTAAAGTCCAGGTATATCACAGCCACCGACTTTCCCATGTCCACACTGCCAATTACCTCATTATAGAAGCTAACCAGATTGGACAGGCACAACTTGCCCTTTGTGAAACCATGTTGAATATTCCTGATCACATTCCCCTCTTCCAAGTGCTTCAGAATGGATTCCTTGAGGATCCCCTCCATGATTTTTTTGGGGACTGAGGTAAAGATAACTGGTCTGTAGTTCCCTTGATTGTCATCCTTCCCTTTTTTAAAGATGGGCACTATATTTGCCTTTTTTCCCCCCCCGTGGCCTCTCGCAAACAAATTTTCCCCTGATGTTGAGCAGCATGAAAATACCTCCACCAGGATACATGGGTCAAACGTGCAGGAGTGTTTTCATGGATGGGAAAGCTGCCTCAAGATAATCGGTTTTGCATCAGCTCTCCCAATGCTTCTGTTTCAAACAAAGATTTTGAGTTTCTATATCTGGTGTTGTTGGCAACACTTATTTCATAGGAAATAAGCAAGAGCTAGAGTATGCTAATCTATATCAAGATAAGAAAAAAATCAATTTAAACAGGATGGATAGCACAAAAGATTTATATACACACACTAGTACTTGTTATAATAGTGGCAACTTGAAAGATGATTCTACAAAGACAACATGGCATTGGTGTAAGATGTTACATTGCAGCAAAGTCTGAGTCACATACAAGGGGCCCACACTATTGACACAAGGGGTTGCAGCACAATGGTGCATCTACGAAGAGACAGGCACACGGCATTTTTCCATACCTTGTATTTCTTCAGACAGACTCCTGTCAGAGTGTGCAGACATGGCTCTCCGATAATGCCACCACCACTGCTAGCTATATACCTGGGTACAGGGAGAGGACAGAGAACAGCCCTTTGGAAACAAGATCCAGTCTGGCACTGCAGTACAAGCTCAGTAAGAAGCTGCAGCTGAGATTGCAGCAAAATCACTTTGGAGAATTCTTGCTCTCCCAGGCAGGTAGCATGGCCAGAGGTTGACTGGGAAAGTACCCAGGGAGAAGATGGAATCCCCCTCCTTGCCAGGCAACATGTCCTGGGGAAGGAACAGGAAGAGTTTGGCTGGTTCCAGACCCGGAGTGGAAACAAGTCATGTGTGTATGTATGGATGGATGGGAGGACGGGTAGGGAAGAGGAGGGTGTCACATTCCCTCCCACAAGCTGATGCCAACTTTAGGTTCCTCCCTACTAGTCACTCATGGCTCAAGGAGAAGAGGGGTTTGGGTGAGGAGATTGACAGCCTCTAACCTCCCATGGAATATCAGTTTTACATTAGACAGATTGTGCTGCGGACTTTGTGGAATACACAAGCACATAGCTCCTTACCTAAATAGTGACACGGCAACAGGTCAGTGCAATCAGAAAGAGAAAGAGAAAAAAAGAAAGTTAGATCCTACTGAAACCATCTAACAGGCCATTTTTTTCCTTTACTCAAGTTAAGAGAAAATTGAAGCAGAATAGGCACAGTGAAAAGTCAGTATATTATAGCACAGAAAACGCCCTATACATTTAAAAAACCCACAAACTATTTTTCAAAGTTTTATTATCATACATTTCATACTCATTTAAAAACATTTCAAAAGTAAAACATTAAGTTTAGGGTGCACAGTAGTATTTTCCATTTTTTTTCCATGAAACAGCAGATAAATAAATAAAAATGGACAGCATGTTCCTCTCCCTTCCCCCACTACAAGCCTCTGAAAGATGACAGATTTTTGGCTAGTTATATTAAGACAAATCAGGTCATTCCTGACTATTCCATAGTTATGGAAGCTACAAGTATGTTTGTTGCATGAGACCCTGCTACAATTACATCCTGCAAAACAAGTTTAAAAAATAAAAATCACGAAACATTTCATTGTCATTAAAAGATTAAATACAGTTTTGGCAATCAATAGCCTCAAATATGCATGAATGACGATAGAGAGAAAGCGGTCAGTGAAGATTGCTCACTAAAGTGGATATGAAGTTGATATCAGGGTTTAAAAAAAAAAAAATCAGTGAGGCTCAGCAAAATAACATTCTGAAGCAGCAGCATCCTTGGAGCTTTTTCCAAGGTCAGTTGGTCCAAGCCAGATAAAGTACATATTCCTTTAACATCCTATAAGAAAACAGAATTCAGAGTTATCCTATGCAGCAAAATACACACAAAACCCAAGAAGAGTCATGCAGCTACAAGGTTGAGCCAACCAGAAAATGTCCCCTTTTCCTCTGACCGGTTTTGTTCTGTGATTTATAAGCATTTCATTTTCTGTTCTTATAAATTGTACTCACAAAATGTTCTAATTATTTGCAGACACACTAATAGCTCTTCGAACAATATATTAATGTAGCAGTCTGGAATGTGCTCTCATAGCCATGGTAAAGTAAGGCTTACAAGAGAACTGCTCAGGACATATCAGATATTGTGGGGTCTGGAAAAAAATTAGTGAGTTATAATTAAGTAGTCTCAGCTCATATAGCTACTTTTAAAACTAAAGGAGTGTGCTCTGAAAAGTGAATGTAAAATGGAACTTCCATAGATGTACCATTTACTACTGAATCTGCCTACTTCAACTAAAGTGAGGTTTTACTGAAATTGCTCCTTTGAGCCACTGCAGAGCCAATACAGCAGAGGAAGCCCATTTTATACTGTCTGATGTATTAGTGATAGAACTGGAGAGAACGGGAGATGTAGCAAAGATGAACCACAAAAACCACACCCCACCAAACACCCAGGTTGACTTCACATTCCATATTATGCTTGTCGATCTGGCACTTAGCTTGCTTGCACCTCCAACTCCCACCCGACACTATGTGTAAACTGAGCAGACTTGATATGGAATTAAAAAGATAATCAATATAGAGCATTTAGGTATTTTTATAGCTTCATTCTTCAGAATACAACCATGTTAAAAAAATCCCAAAGACAACTGTCTAAATTAATGAAAAATATATAGAGAACAACCACTGAGGGGTGGGGTGGAAGATTGTATCCCATGGGAGGAGGAAAGAGTAATGAAATGGAATACCACAAAAAGTAATATCACAGAATGTAAAACAAAAAACAAGTTTTTTAATCTCTCCACACACATTCTTGCATTTGGAAGAGGATATTCAGAGCCATCTTTCAAAGCCAGAGCAATCAAAAACATCCCTAGTACAGGCAGTCCCCGGGTTACATGGATCCGACTTACATCGGATCCCTACTTACAAACGGGGTGAGGCAACCCCGCACTAGCTGCTTCCCCCCCAGCAGACCAGGGAGACGCGAAGCTAGCGCCCCCCTCAGCAGACCAGGGAGACGTGGAGCGGCTTTTCTCAGCAGACACCTCAGCTTGAGAATAAAGGACTGAGGGAAGTGAGGTGTGGGAGAATAAAACTGAGCTCTGGAGAAATGTTTGGCTAGAGTTTCCCCTACAATATGTACCAGTTCCGACTTACATACAAATTCAACTTAAGAACAAACCTACAGTCCCTATCTCGTACGTAACCTGGGGACTGCCTGTATGTATCAGATAGCTTAGACCTCATTTTAAGATTCCACGAATCCTAGTTCTGCAAAGCTTTCATGGGGACTGAATTAGCAGGGAGGAAAAAAAAAAAATCTCAAGAAAAATCTTTTCCTTTCTGAAATACGATAGTTTATTTCTATGTTGTATCCTTCAAACAGTATCACACAGAGCAATATAATAGAGACTAACGCTTGCAGATTTAAGGATTTACAGAGTGGAGTGTGGTAATATGTACAGGAAGGAAGAAAAAGCAACAGACCAAAATAAGAAAAAAAAGAAATGTAGAAGCAATGAAGAAGAAAGTTTAGAAAATGTCACTTGAACACAAAGGGCCTCATTCCCACAGCACCTACACCTGTTTTAGGACAGTGAACTCCACTGATTTCAATCATGTCCCTTTTAAATTTGCACTGGTGTATTTGAGAAGATAAGGGCAAAAACTTTTCTGAAAAATTTACCCATTCTTCCATTTATGGTACCCCACCATCCATATTTTCAACAATCTAGCCCAGCCAACATCCGTGACTAACAGGAGATTGGTTTTCTGAAGTCAGAACTTATCCATATTAGTTAATGGTGTAGTTGCACTGATGTAGCTACACTGATGCTTGTGTAGATTTGACGTGTCAGATTAAACTCTTCCTTGCAGCTTACCGTGGGTCAAAATATTACATAAAAGCACACAGATGCAAATATTGCAGTCAGTTGCAGCCAGCTGGTCTCTCACACCACAGTGGAGCTGAATGGATCAGATCCGTTACAAGTGTACAAATCCACTAAGTGAATGAGACATGACTATAGCTCAGTTCAGAATTGTGTGTGAATTTTATCGATAGACAGAAAGATTTATATTATTAACTGTGTAGACCAAAGTAGACAAGCATGTTTACATGCTTAATTATCTCGTGGTGACATTTAATTACAAATGCTAATAATCTAGATTTGAGTTTAAAATACTGTTAACCGATATCTGCATAATACTTTTTAAAACAATATAATTTATTATTCTTACCTTGTGTTTGTATTCTTCTTTTACTCAAAATACCTTGACTGCTAGACAAGAAAGTACCTGTGTTAATACAGTACAAATTCATATGCACAGAAATACTTACCAAAAAGAGT